GCGGAGGAAGGGCCCGCACACAGCACACAGCACGCCCCTCCCCCCCCCTCCGGGCTAGGAAGCAGGCCTGACTTCCCCAGTGTGACCCATCCTCAAAAACATAATAACGTTGAGCCGAAAGCTCAGGAGAATGATAAATTTGGCATATTTGTATATTTGTAAAGACACAAGACATTCTTACAGTATGACTGAGGATACAGAGACTTGTAGTCAAAATAGGACAACATAGATTGAAAAGGATTTGTGTCTAATACAGAGAGCTACATAATTCTCTTTTCAATCTCGTTTTTATTTTCTGTGTGTGATATATAATACATAAAGCTGTGTGTTGCTTGTTTTTAAGACTCCCAGGCAAATGTAACAAAATATTAATATTTGTTAATTTTGTTGCATCATGTCAGGAGTTTGTCACATATATTTCTTTTTCTCCATATTCTTATGCCTTTAATATTTCTTTCCCCAAAAAAGGAGGGGGGAGAAACAAAACAGATACTCCAATAGATGAATTTTATTACTCATGAGCTGAGGCCCTAGGCAAATCTCTACTTCAGGATTTCACCTTCTACTGAAATTAAGACAGCCGAGAAGAAAATGAGAAAAGTGAATCACAACACAGGAGTCCACAGAGCTCAGGTCACCAACATGATAGATACATCAACAGGTGAGAGGTCAAAGGGCGGTCACTATCTAAATTGATAGTGACAGAAACGTGACATTAGATATTAGATCAACAGACAACTGATATATAAATTGATACACAGATGATTGATACATGATAATAGATGAAGAAGATAGGTAGATGGTTGGTAGCTGGATGAGTTATTAAGAGAAGAGAGGAGAGAGAAGTAGATGGACTAACAGACACATGCATGCATATATACATACACACATGCATGCATATATACATGGTAGAGCAAGACAGCTGACCTCAGTGACTGGGTCTGATGGCTGAGTTCCAGTCCCCAAAGACAGTGAACATATGACCTCCCATGACAAAAGGAGTTGGCAGGTGTGATTTAGGGTCTTGACTGCACAGGGGTGAGGCCAGGCTGGGTTTCACAGGGCCCAGTCAAACTGTATGAGGTCAGATGACAGTGTTCACAGAAGAGAGTGAGGCAGAGGGGGGAGAGATTTGAAGTGTGTGGAGATTCTTAGTGTGTGAAGAGCTCAGGCTGTGACACAGAGACCTTGGTCCAAACAGAACCATATTGGGACTTCCAATCAGAGTCCTATAAAACAGTAACTAAGGGCGTGTTGTGTAAAAGATTAGCCTACATTTGATGGTCTGTTACAGTGCGACGAAGAACACACACCAATGCACCTCACTCCACCCAACAGAGACACGCTGCCCAATCTTCTGCACAGTCAACGCGTGTCAAACAATCCTACATTCCCCTCTGCTTCCATTAAAAATCAGTCATAAATTACTGTGTGCAAAATAGATGGGCTTCATTCATTCACCATGACAGTCCTTTCGAAGAGAAAATAGAAGCTTCGGTGCGTGGTCCCTTGAGCACTAAACATGAAGCACTCTTAGAAGGAGAAGATAGACCCCCTTCCACATGGTGCCATCCTGTCTATCTATGGATGGACCAAGTATGGAGACAAGATGGAGTGACATTCTCCCATAGTCTCTAGCCACATGACTCTACCACCAAAATATGGATCGTTCCTTGAGGGCCAAAGGAAATGGGGAGCCCGCACAGTCTCTGAGTCGAGCAGTCCAGACCCGGTGGCTTCCTTTGGGAGAAACCCTGCTTCTTGTCAGAGATCGACTCCCTTCACAGACACAGCCCATCAGACAGTGGAAGCAATTGCTTGGGGCAGCTGCTTGGAAGACTCAGGGAGCGAGCCTATTTCTACTAGCTGGGTTATGACAGACGTGATCCTCTGTGCAAGCTCCTCTGAGTGTAAGGAGAAAATGTGACTTGGCTCTAACTAGGAAAAGAGGGCAAAGCTGTTGATGCAGTTGAAAGTCCCTAATCCAAAGGCAGATTAGCCTGGTGTGTCTTACCCCATCAGATGAGCTATTTGAAAGTGGGCTTTGAAGACAGAGGTTTAAGGCACAAGATGCTCTTTCCACCATTTTAAAACAAGCTGCCTGAATTCCATGTCTAGGAACAATTTATTCTGGTAACAACCTGAGAGGGTTTGTAGGTCATTCCTCCCCTATTCTATTACCCTCCCCCCCAGCCCCCTTGGGTATCTGGTGACAACAGAGCTCAGTCAACACCTTAATTTCAGCCTATGGGACTTGAGCAAGAGCCTGGATATATATGTGGCCAGACTTCTGACCTCCCCAAACTGTGGGATAATAAATGAGCATTGTTCTCAGCCACAATGTGCCCATTTGTCATTTGTCATTAAAAAAGAAAGAGAAAAAAAAAAGAAAAAGGAACCCACAGTCGAAGTTCTCTGAACTAAGACTCCCTTATCTATAAAATGGATAATGAAAATCTCCATGCCAGGGAAACAGTTTCGGGATTGTAAACAAGAAATCTTGTAAAAATCTGGTGGAAACGTTAAGAATTGTTGAAAGAAAGACCTCAAGTTGGCCCTGTTTCCTCTGCTTCCTCGAGGAGGCCAGAGGTCCACTCAGCTTGCTGATGGCACCCCAGGGCTGTGGGGCCTCCAGCTGCCCCCAGGGTCTCACTTGCCCTGGAAATGGCATTTGTGCTTCCCTAGCAATCACCCCTTCCCCGCTGAGCTCAGAGAACATTCCTTCTTGCCCCTGGCTCCTGCACCCCCCCCGGCCTCAGGTGCCAGATTTAGAGCTGCTCACCACCTGCACTGGAAAGGACACTTTGAGGAGTGGGGACAAGTGCCCAGAATTGGGTTCCTGGGGACTTTGGCTTTCCCTTCTTGCACAGGATCCTGCTGATCCACATGAGACTCGGCCTTGTAAACATAGACTGACACACGGTTGTTATACACAGGGCTGTCACTGCATGCCATGCATGGTCATGGAGCTCCTCCTGTCTGACCTTGCCGAAACCCCTGAGCCATGTCCTGTGCCAGCTCAGCACCTGAGCCTCTTCTTACCTCCACCCTACACGGCTGGGCGGCCTTGACCAGTCGACTTCTACTTCCCTGTCCCTGTTTGTTCAGGTGTAAATGGAGCTTCTCTGAACTCCAGGGGTCCTGCAGGCCCGGCAAGGCAAAAAGAAAGGTCACAGCCTGACACAGAGACTGTGATGCAAGACTTGCTCTCAAACTTACTTTCAAACCCAGACCCTTGAGGAGGGCTGTCCATCTCCGTGTCCCAATCTCTTCAGCAGGAAAAATGGAGTCACCAACAATTAAACACCAAAGCACAAGCAGTTCAATGAATAAGTGAGCCAGTGTATTGAACAATTCTCAAAGGGTCACAAGATGACCCTGAGCTTCTGTCTCGCCCCAATCAGAATGACCATCATCAAGAAAACAAGCAACAAACTCTGGTAAAAATACAGGTGTGCGTGGGAGATGGGGGCTGCGGGAGTCCCGTATGTGCTGTTGGTGGGCATGGAAATTAGCACAGACACTATGGAAATCAGTATGGAGGTTCCTCAGAAAGCTAAAATAGAGCAGTCTTATGATCGTGCTGTACCACTTCTGGGCATATGTCCACAGGAACACAGGCATCGCTCAAGGGAGACACCTGCACACCTGTTTACAGCAGCACTATTTACAGTGGCCCAAGTACCATGAGTGGATGAAGAAAATGTGGCACAGACACTCGAGGAAGAGGAAATTATGTTATATGCAGAAAAATGGATAAGATTCGTGTTAAGTAAATTAACTCCGGTTGAAAAAGACAAATAGCACACTTTTTCCTCTCATAGAAAACAAGAAGCTTTCAACTTGATGCTCGTGGAATCGAGGCTTTAAAAACTGAATGATGGGTAAGTAAGGGGTGGAGCTGGGTGGTAAGTGCTAGCAGAAGTGGAGAACACAAAAGAAGATGGAGTGAGTAGGATCCAAGTACCTCATATGTGTATATAGAAAATAGAACAATGAAGCCTGTCACAATTGTTCTTAGAAGGGGAGAATGGAACAAGTAATGTGAGGTGGAAGAAAAGGACATAGTAGAAAATGGAATGGAGGGCTGAGAATATGGCTCAGTGGTAGGGTGCTTGCCTAGCATGCATGAAGCCCTAGGTTTGATTCCTCAGTACCACATACACAGAAAAAGCCAGAAGTGGTGCTGGGGCTCAAGTGGTAGAGCACTAACCTTGAGCTGAAGAGCTGAGGGACAGCGCCCAGGCCCAGAGTTCAAGCCCCATGACCAGCACAAGAAATTAAAAAGTCTCACAGAGTTTCCTGCCCAGGGTGGCTCTTAACTGTGATCCTCAAGATCTCAGCCTCCTGAATAGTTAGGATTACCAGAGTGAGCCACTGATGCCAGGCTAGACTCTAGAAGTCTAGAATTTTTAACTTGTATGCCATGGCAGCTAAAGGGTTTTGAGCAAAGAAGTGACTCAGGAGTGACCAGAAACTGTGTGCCTCTCCCTGGGCTGTTATGGGCACAGGTGTCTCAGACAGAAAGCTGGAAGATAGTGCTCCAAATGTTCCTGTGGTTTTTCTCCCAGGGCTAGAATTACTGGGAGATTTTATTGTCTTCCCTCATTCATCTGTATCTCCTAATTATTCTACAAAGGACATACATTGCTTGCATAATTAAAAAAGCAATAAAAGCTGTAAATAATTAACAAGATCTCTCTTCAGGACTTTAATTGGATGGATGTGTTTTCAACCCAGTTATTGCAAATATTTGCTGGATTCCTGGCTATGGAAAGGTGCCATTGCAAACCCCAGGACAGTGGAGTCATGCGGGGTGAGCTGCTGGGGGAACAGATGCAGTCGGGACCCCACGGAACAGAATCCCACCCCCACCCGGCCCTGGCTCACAGACATCATCTGACTCTCATTTTTGGTCTTGCCGAGGCTTAGCTAAGTCCTACTTTGCATGTTCTGAACCCAAGCCCACATGAAAGGGCCGAGGCCGCCGCGTGGCCTACCTTTTGGGATGGAGCCTCGGTTTCTTCTGTTTGCTGCTCCCACGAGATGCCTTCACCCTCCTGCGCCATGGTCCCTTCTTCCGCTCTGGGTCTGACACCAGGCCCCGGCACCTCATCCCCTGGACCGCTGGGTAGCAGAGCTGAAAATACCAGGCATGTTGGCATCGCATTGCTCAGTCCTCGGGGCAGGGCTCACGCTGGAGGTCCTCTCCACAGATAAGGCCCCATCTATGCAGAGCAAAAGATGGCCACTCTGCACCCACCGAGTCCTGAGCCCTTGAAGGGCTCCCTGCATAGCAGGCCTGATGGAACCTTCTGGACCCCTGTGATGGAGTCTAGAGGCTATAGACATCAGAATTGTGTCTCCACCCCTAAGTCCTTCTCCGGCCTTGGAGGAAGGAGGGCTCACCTGAACCCAGCACCTTCCTTATTCACTGGCCACATGCAGAGGAAGCCAATGCCCACCCACCCCAGGGGAAGTGAAGTCACTCACAAGACCCAGACTGCAACATTGTCCTTGTACCACAAGGGTATACCCAGCCCAAGAGCCCGGGTCCAAAAATCCCACAGCAGGACCAAGCATTTGATTCATGGGTGATTTGCTCTCTACACGTGGCTATTACCACCTAATTACCAAGGAGAACTGGACTTCCCTGAACACCACCCCTGCCCCCAATACCCCATATTGCCCTACTTCCTTTCTTGCCTCTGCCTCTGGGAGCCCCCAGGTGGGTCTGGTCTGATTATAGCAATTATTGCTTCAGAGTCCCTCGTGTCATGACTCTCTCCTTTTGGGAATTTTGATTGGTTTGTTCTTTTGTTTTGCTTTGATCAGATTTTTGTTGTTGTTTACTTTTAGTTTGGGTTTGGTTTGGTCTCGGGCCCAGAGTTTTATCTCTCAATTACAGTTTCTAGTTTATAATCTTAGTTTACTCAGAGAATTTTTTTTCTGGACATGTTCCTTTTTTTGCTTCTATGTCTAGGAAGCTTGTAGCTCAGTTTTATGAGTCGTTATGAATACTATCTTAACCCAGGTGCTCTGATGCATTGTTCTTTATGTGAAATTTACTTTGTCATGACTTTTTTTTTTAGGTTTGTTGGACTTTGGCCTTCAGTCTCTCTCATTCTGCATATGATAACCTCCATCTCCCCTGAGAGCAGGGCTGAGAAGACACAATGAGGGGCAGCACCCGTCCCCCGTCACTCCGAGTCCGGCCTGCTAAGAATTTTACTCTCGGCATCCCAGGCCCAAGACAAAGCTGTGATTACCTCTGGCGTCTGTGGTGCTGGCTTTCCCGCTCCAGGGCTCGTCCTGATCCATCCTCTAGTGCCGGTGGGCAGGGCCAGGGGACCCTCGGCCTGCAGGTGGCTTCCAGGGCAGTACCAAGAGGAGTACACCGATTCCGCTCTCTCCTTCTGCTCGGCAGGCAGAGGCAGGCTGCGGCTCAGGCAACACCACGTGAGCCGTGGCTCGGCCCGCAGGGAGGGGAAGGGGCTCTGGGCCCTGCCGCCCGGCAGGCATGGTTCTGGCAGGCTCGGGGCCCAGCCCTGTGGCCTTGTGAGGGCTGTGCGGGAGGAGCTGGACTGGGAGGGGCAGCAGGGACGGAGTTCGGCCAGGGGCTCCGGAACAGAGTCTTCTGGGGCATTCTTGTGAGGCTGCACGGGCTCCTGGGGCGGTACCCAGGAATTCAGAAGACCCCCAGGGCCCTGGGCCTCTGCTGACGTACTGTCTTGGCTGAGGTGAATGGCGGAGTCCCTGGCCAGGGGACCGTGGCCTGTGGGTGTGGGGGGGAAGGGGGCCGGTTCCCAGGGGAGCCCTGGGGCAAGGCTGGGAGAATCCCTGGTGTCGGGGACCTTGGCTCTGACCCTGTCTCCCTTTTCACTTCCTGCCTGTGCCTCTTCTCCTCTGTCCCTTGGCCTGGGCCTGCTGGGGTCCTCTAGAAGCCCCTCTGCTTCCCCTGGGGTTGGGCCTAAGGCTGGGTCAGGAGGCTGGGCTGACCCTGGTACTGACCCAACAGCAGATGCCTGTCCTTTGAGCTGCCCACTTGAGCAAGGGGAGTCTGGGTGCTGCCCTGGCAGCGGGGGGATGGGCGGCGGGGGGTGGGTCTCTCCCTGAGGTAACCTGAGGAGGTACTTGGGGGGGAAGGTGCTGTGGGTCAGGGCCACTGGGGCCTCTGGAGTCCCGGGGTGGGGAGCCAGCTGGAGGTGGGGTCCTGAGACCCTGGGGGCCGGACGTGGTGTGGGCTCCTCCCCCCGGGACCCTGTCTGTCCCGGGTGGGCCAGGGGGTCCGCGGGGCACTTGGTACCCTCCCGAGACCTCTCTGAACCCCCCTGTGGGTCACTGCCCTGCATCTGGGACGGCAGGGAGGCCACCCGCACAGGGCCGCCGGGGGTGTCCACTCCCGGGGGCCCTAACTGCTCCTGCAGGCCTGTCCCGTCCACCCTCAGCTTCTTCCTTTCCGATGGGAGCTTGTCTTCTGCAGACGGGGGCTCCCCGGCGCTGCCACTGAGCCGCCTTGGTGCAGCCTGGGCCCAGGGACTGATCTTCACGGCCTCCCCGTCGGCTTCCTGCCTGGCGTTGGTGGCGTCGGGCACAGCTGGCCCAGAAGTCCGTGGGCCCTCCCCTGGCAGGGGCTCTGGCCTCCCATCCGGAGGAAGCAGAGCGCTCCTGGTGCCCAGAGAGGGGGGGACCCCACTGCCAAGGGGTGAGGGGGACGCCGTTGTGGCCTGCCGGGGCGGGTTGCTGCCTCTGGCCCCCGCCGCCGCCTTCCCCTGTGGAGCGGGCTGAGCCTCCGAGGAGTTCTCCGGGGTGGGCAGATTGCCCCCAGCCCCCCACCGGGCCTCTGCAGATGCGGCTGTGTGGACAGAGGTGCTGGGGACCTGGGCCGGGGCTGCGCTGTCCGCCCCGGCTGCCTCTTCCTGGGGGGCGAGATGGGGTTCGGTCCCCGGCTCCCCTCTCACCTCCCTGGACTTCTGGCCCCCCTGGTGGCTGCTCTTCGTCTTCTGGTAGATTCTCTCAAATGTCTCGTGCCCGTACACCTGCCACTTCTCCTGGGAGAACATCTGCCCCTTCCTGGGGCGGCCCTTCCTGCTGGCCACGTGGCCTTTGCAGACGGACCTGTCCAGGTCCTCGGCCGGGGCGGAGGTGTCCCCGCCGGACACACACAGCATCTCCTCCACGGCAGCCTGCCGCACCAGAGCCCGGGGGTGGCCGCTGGGGACATCAGCCAAGGTCATCCTGGAGCGGCAGCCCAGGCGGGCCGGAGGAAGCCTGGGGCTCGGGGGCTTCTGCATCCTAGGGAAGATGTCCCCCAGGTCCCGCGGCTCCGGCCACGTCCTGGAGCCTTCCACAAAGGGCAGCGAGTTGCTCCTGGTGACAGGGACGCACTCCACAGCGGTGGAGAGCTGGGTGGGGACAGAGTGGAAGAAGAGGGGCCGGGACTTGTCCAGTGGGGGGAAAGTAGAAGGGGCAGGGCTGTGCACGGCCCTCCTGCGGCCCGGCTCCAGGGCCCGGATGTCGAAGTGGAAGGAGTCCTTGTAGGTGTAGGGCATGGGCAGGTCGATGCTGCCCTGCTTGGACAGCACCGTCTTGCGGGGCCGCACGTGGTCCAGCTGAGGGTCGTCCACCACGGCCTGGTTGTGCGAGATGAGCCGGGCGATGCGTTCCTCGAGCTGCTTCCTCTCCAGCTCCAGGCTGGGCCCCGGAGCCCCCGCCTCGGCCTCCACAGCCCCCAGCCCGGGCCCGGGGCCTCCTTCCCCCTCCGACTCCACACTGTGCTCCGACAGGCTGTGGAGGGGGCTGGAGGTGACGGGCGGCTGCTCGGCGCTGTCCGAGCGGGACAGGTACCCCGAGTCTGTGCTCTCACACTTCCTCAGCCGGCCCTCGGAAGCCTTGGTGTCCCAGGGCTTTTCCGAGGTCGTCTCCTGCTGCCGGGGCAGGGAGCAGGGCTTGGGTTCCAGAATCTTCCGGCGAGGCTGCGGGCTGGCCAGGGGAAGCCCTGGCGAGGCCATCTGGGTGTGGTCGGCGGGGGCCTCTCGGTGGGCAGGGGTCGCCCCCGGGCAGGGGGCAGCTTCCGTCTTCATTTCTAGGCTCTGGGCAGCAGGAGACAGATGGAGGCCTGGGGAGAGGGCTCTTTCTGCCCCCTGACTTCCGCTCTCTGCTATGGGGGGCTCTCGAACCCGGCTCTCCTCCTCCCCCAGGCTGCTCCTGCCCGCCTCTGACTCCAGGGACAGCCGGGAGTTGTTGAGGTGCGTCTGTGTGCGCCGGTGCTTGTACAGGTTGCTCTGGGTCTTGAAGGCGATGCCGCAGGTGGCGCAGGGGAAGGGCCTCTCGCCCGTGTGTGAGCGGATGTGCTTCTCCAGGACGCTGGGCTTCAGGCAGTCCCGGCTGCAGTGGGGACACAGGTACTTGCCAGCGTTCTTCGCCTTGCCTGGGCTCCCCAGCGTGGGCCCCAGGCCCGGAGACAGGACTGGCAGGGCCCCCACGATGTTCACCGTCAGTGTTGGGGCACCCAGCTTGCCCCCCTGGGAAGGGCCAGGCCCCTCGGGCTGCAGCAAGGGGCTGAGGATGAAGGGCACACCGCCCGCATCCACACTGCCCGTCACCAGGGGCGCGCGCGGCTGGAGACCCCCAGGAGGCACCGTGTGGTATAAAGGGATGGGCAGGGCCTTCAGGAACACGGCAGAGTGCAGGCCTTGCTCTTGTGGCAGGATGACCGGGCCCAGGGTCAGGCGCGGGGAGGCCTGGCCACTTGAGGCTCCTGGGAGGCCAACCACCGGGATCGGCTTGTCCTTGGCAGAGGGGCCCGGGCAGCTGGGTTCTGGGGTCTCCATTCCACATTGCCTGGGCAGCCCAGGATGTCAGGCGGCCTATGGGTGACAAAACCCACACTTTACCACCTTCTCTCACCCTCATTGAACCCCAGGGACTGTCTCCAAGTACCCCGGTTCAGAAATCAGCCCGCTGGGCAGTGGATCCTCGGCAAATCAGGACTCAGACTCGGCCTCCCTGAGTGTTTCTTAGTGTCCCCAAGAGCAGCTCCTGCTCCATCCCCTGCAGAGCTCAGAGCTAGCCTGTCACCAGCATCCCCTGCTACCAGGCCCACCCAGAGGAGACCCTCAGGAAATGCACTGGTTTCATGACAACAAGAGTTGAGTGGCCCATGGCAGTCCTCGGAGCCCAGAGTGATTCTATACAGCCAGGGCAAGTCCCTGCCTTCCCAGGGCCTCTGCTGCTCAGCTGGGAAATGGACATGGACCGGGACCCCATTCTCTCCCGAAAACTTGGGGTTTCACCTAAGGATGGAGGTCATAAAGAATAAAAACTGGCCAGAGAGCACACTTGCCACATTAAGTAAGATAGAATACAAGACTTATTTAATTAAAATTTCATGCCTGATCCTGAGTGTGATCCAAATGTTACTTCTATTACAGGTCTATCCCAAATCTCTCACAGGTCATGCTTATACTAAAATATTGTGCATTGCTTAACTGCAAGGCTGGAGTTACTTGGGCACCCTGTATTTGATCTTACGACACTACCAGGAGAAAGAGTGTGTTTCCATTCTCAGCATGTACTTGGGTCTCTGCTCAACTCAAAACCCATCCAGAGCCTGGAGGGACAGGAACAGCAGGGAAATACTGGCTAGGCTGGTGGCCAGACAGGCCTCAGCCACCCACCGCCCCACCACCCCACCACCGCAGCACCTCTGAGCTCCACAGCACACACCTCCTCCTGCTCAGCTCCTTCAGCCCGCACTTGAGAAAGCCGCTGCTACGTTTGCAGGAACCTTGCCAGCCACCCGCTCAACACAGCGCTAAACCACGCTGGTCGTGGTGGTGGTATACACCTTTACTCTGAACAATTGGGGAGCTGAGGGAGGAAGATCACAAGGCTGAGGCCAGCCTGGGCAGCATGAGATTTTTGTCTCCAAATATATATATATATATATATATATACACAAATATATATATATACACAAATATATATATACACAAATATATATATATATACACAAATATATATATACATAAATATATATATATACAAATAAATGAAGTTCAGAGCAAAGATGGCATACCTGATATTTACATGCAAAAGAATAAAGTTGGCTCCCTCCTCATTCCATATGCAAAATTTAGTTCAAAATTATCAAAGCTGAGCCCTGGTGACTCACACCTATAATCCTGGCTACTCAGGAGGCTGAGATTTGAATCGCAAGGTTCAAAGTCAAGCCAGGCAGCCAAGTTTGTGAGACTATTACCTCCAATTAACTATACAAAAAGCCAGAAGTGGCACACTGTGGCTCAAATGGGAGAGAGCTAGTCTTGAGCAAAAGCAGCTCAAGGATAGCACCCAAGCCCTGAGTTCAAACTCCAGGAATGGTACACACACCACAAGCCACCTGCAAAAGCCCAGCATTTTTTTTTTTTTGAAGAGAAGATGTACAAATAGAAATCTCCCAGAGCTCATGCGAACTGAAGGAAAGGAAGATGAAGGAGGGGAGGGAGAAGGTTTCCTCTTTCTGGGAACGGCAGACATGACTTCCTGGCAGCCATGATCCTTGGTTTCCTCTGCTCTGAGAACGGCATCATTAGGTTGGAGTTGCCCAGGGCTCGGCAGAATTAAGCTACGTTAAAACCCCAGTTCTCTGCTAGCCCAGCCTAGCACTGCACTGATCTGAGCTTTCAATGGTCACCCTCATATTTTTGAGCTCCCTCTGTCTCTCCATCCCACCCTTGTCTCTCCCGGCAATGGCAGTCTCCGTTCAGCCCTGTGGGAAGGGAAGAATCTTGGGGAGGCCCATCTTCTGCAGGAGGCTGTCCCCAGAGACACGGGGGTGGGGGGTGGGAGGGGACTGGGAAGACAGGCAGAGACAATGCCACAAAGCCAGGTCACGGCACCACTGAGCTGATTCGGTTGGAGGCACCAGAAACCACATGCCTTCCACCTTGACTGCTCTCGAGGAACACCCACTCCAACGGGGCACGTGAATGCCACCTTGGGCTCCGGGGCCCAGGACCCCTGGCAGACCACGTGGCCCCCAGTGGGCTCTGAAGTGGTGGGCAGGGGCTCCTGGGGCAGAATAGGAGCAAATCCTACCCAAAGGAGGAGGACTGAAGCGAAGAATCGGTGCTTCTAGCCCTGGGCTCTGCTGGGGGGGAGGGTAGTGTGGGCAAGGAAGACATGGAAGGGAGAGCCCGAGCGCCCACACGCCCTCTCTCCGGGACAGTCCCAGCCACCGCTCCCACAGCAGAGACCCAGTCCCGCCTGGGTCCTGGCAGGAGGAATGGAGGCAGCCCAGAGTGGCCTGCTCCAGAAGGATCTCGAGAGCACCTGCCCAGGAATCAAGGACAGAGGGACATGTGCCCCACTGGAGCCCCAGTTACATCCTACCTGGACACCATGACCCCTGAGGAGAAAGGAAGCCCAGCATCTGAGCGAGTGAGGGGGAAAGGGAAGGATGGGAGGAAAAGACCAAGAATGGCTGCCCCGGGGTGGGAACAAGGAGGAAGGGCATCCCTGACCCACCCCCACGATCAGTGAGGCCTCACTGGAATCCTCTCCAAGGCCGATTGGGAGGCACTGACCCCTTTCTGCAGGCAGACAGCTCTTTTGCTCTTTGGGAGAGGGTACATGTTAAGCTGTTCCTGTTGAACTCATGGGCAAACTGAGGACAGGGGTTGAGAAGACAAACTAGGGTTGGGAATGACCACTGAGACTCCATTTCAAGTGCTCGCTCTGTTGCCCTCTAGACTACCACACAGAAGCCCATTGTCCTTCCACCTGCCAGCTGAGCAGCTTTCCTACCTCCCCTGGCCCCCCAGACTGGTCATATTCTTTGATATAAATGGGGAGATTTCTGGACAAGGGGTGGTTGGAGAGGTAGGGAAAACAGAAGGAAAGAAATGACAATGACCAAAGCTTTCTTGACCCCAAACAGCCCTGAGCCAAAAGAAAACATGAAAATCTCAGATGCGTTTATAGCTTCAGCCTCCTGGGAGAGGAAGCAATGGAGAAACGCGCTCAGCACATTACCTTGATGGAGGCTTCTGAACCGAACGGGTCCAGAGCCAGCTGCTCTCCTGACATCTTTTCTAAAGTTTCTCCATCCCAAGTGCCAGGTGAGTACCATTAAACCTGCATGGAATACCACCACGCTACGCTGCTCAATGCCCTAATGCCGGAATGGCACACTTCAAAACAGTGGAAAGGTAGATGTCATGGTGCGTGTTCTCTACACATTTTTTTAAAAAAAAAAAAAAAGAACCGGGCACCAGTGGCTCATACCTGAAATTCCAACTACACAGGAGGCTGAGATAGGAGGATCATGGTTCAAAGCCATCTCTGGCAGGAAAGTCCCACGAGAATCTTATCTCCAATTTAACCAGAAAAAAAAACCAGAAATGGAGCTGTGGCTCAAGTAGTAGAGTGCCAGCCTTGAGTAAAAAAGCTGAAGGACAGAACCCTGGCCCTGAGATCAAGTCCCAGGACCAGCACAAGAACATAAAATACAATAAATAGGTTAAAAAGAGAAAGGACCAATGCTATGATTACACAAGTAGAAGGCTCACATTTGCACAAACACCTGTATGTGGATGTTTATAGCAACTTTATTCATAACTGCAAAAAAGCCATGGAACCATCCAAGGTGTCCTTCAGTCAGTGACCAGATAAACAGACTTTAGTACAAGCTACAATGGTGTATTATTCAGCCATTACAAGAAATGAGCCATCAAGCCACAAAAAGACACATAGGGACTTCAAATGCATGCTGCTAAGAGACAGAAAGCAATCTGAAAATCTGCACGATGGATGAACCCAACTCTATGACCTTCTGGAAAAGCTGGAACAGTGGAGACAGAGCACGGAGCATGGTTGCCATGAGATGACGAATAACAGGAAGGTGTTTGGGGCACATTCTGCGTGAGGGTCATGGGGGCCACATACCCGTACTTTTCTCAAACTCCACACAAGGAACGTACTGCAAGAGAGTGGACCTTGATGTAAAACATGGACCCCAGCTAGGTGCCTACGTTCTCACCCACTGTGGTGAAGTTACCACCAGTGAGACAGCTCAGTAACTGAAAGACTAGAGTTAGTAACAAGGGATTTAAGTGGGCACTTTTCTCTGTGTGGTGTGTGTGTGTGTGTGTGTGTGTGTGTGTGCTGGTACTGGGAGTTGAGCTCAGGGCTTTGTGCTCTTGGCTTGGTTTTTTCACCTGGTAAAGTGCCACTTGAGCCACAGCTCTACTTCCAGATTTTTGGTGGTTAATTGGAGATGAGTCTCATAGACTTTTTGGTCTGGGTTGACTTAGAACTATGATCCTCAGATTTCAGCTTCCTGAGTAGCTAAAACCGCTCTAAAAATGGTGAATTCTGAAAACATTTTAAAAAAACCCAACCAATTCTAAAGAGAGCGGGAGGATATAGAAAGATGTTGGTCCTCACCAGCAGAGACACACAAGGCCCAGACGTGATGCTGCATGTCTGGCCTTTGCGAGGTGGGGAGAGACCAAAGCAAATGCTTATAGTGCATGGGGCAGGGGGAGAGGAAGGTATAAAATCATTGCTGAAAAGGAAAGGTTGTGTTTCTCTAAGGACAATTAAAATAAGTATACATCCATTAACATTTCAGAACAGATATCAGGGACACTATATGTGGTCTCACGCCTTCAGGAAGTACTCTCTAAGAGCTCTACCTGGGTACCCCTAGTTTAGACCTCCCAGAGGGACTGATCTTCTCTCTATTCTGGTCCCCCAGCTGGCGTTGCTCATTGGGAGACACTGGGACCAAAAAGAGAAGAGGGGGTGGGCGGCCAGCTCTGTTCCCCTCAGCCCCCTACTTATGGCTGCCCATTTGCCAGGA